CCAGCTTCGAGCAATAAGGCACATCCCCTCACGATATCAGTTTATATAGAAAATGCCTGTCGAAGCCGCGAACCTGGCCGAGTATGTCGTGGACCTCGAATCGCAGCTTGCCCAGCTGCGCGAGATCGTGTTGGGGACTCCAGCCCAGTCGCCACCACCGCAGCAGCAGCAGCAGCAGGCCGTCCCCGCACCAGGGGCAAGAGCAGCGGAACCCGATGCAAAGATCACAAAGATGAGCGAGAACAACAGCAACAACAATGACGACGACGGTGTGCCTGCTGCTCCGGACGCTGGTAGCTGACTGCCCCCCTTCCAGCGACTCTGAAGTTGTTTTTCATGTCCTCACCGTCACGTTTTCCGCCCCGCGTCCCCAACTCCGTTTCCTTATCCTTCCCACATTATTCCCCTCACAACTACCCATGTCCTGCTGCGACGACGCGGTTTTTGATTCGCTCCGGGCGCCATTCATCACAATCAGACAAGGAGCTCCTGTCTAAACTAACAACAGAAAGGTATGTGAGACTTGGGGGTGGCAATCATTGGCTTGGCGGTCGCAGGTGCAGCAGCCCATGAAGGTTCCACGGCGGAGGGAGTGGCTGCGGTCGTGGCGGACCACCAGGCTTTGGCAGGCGCAGCGGGCGAGGCGGTCATGGTGGGCTGCCGCTGATGGGCGTGGATGAGACCAAAGTTTGCTGACATCGGACAGCGCTGTACTTCTTTTCTCTTTTTTTCTTTTCTTTCATTCATTGTCTTTTTGTCTCTATCACAGACACCAGATACCCGACCAAGCCGCCGCCAGCACCACCGCCTCTTTGCCGCCACCGCCGCCGCCATCGACCACACGGAGAACCAGCCAGGACGGCACCGTCTGGCTCGCATCCTCGTCATCATTGTCATTGCCGTCCGCGTTCCAGGCCAGCTCTCCCACACGTGCACGCTGGCTCCATCAAACAAAGGCGCGCATACCTGAATCCATGTCTGGATTCACCAGGTCGATCAACGGCTGGTGCTCCTCAATTCGATCGAAGGCGGCCATGAACACAATGATGACATGTGCCACGGCGGCGGCGGGGTCTTCGTGCGCCACGAATTGTTGACATGGTCAGAAAGCACAAATATTAAAAAAAAAAAACCTGGAAAAAAAACTCACCCAGTACAGCTTAACTCCCCTTCCTCCCACACCTGTGAGCGCACAAAGTCTCTTGATTTTCTCCGAGTCGTATCCTTATTTGGTCTATTTCTAGCAGCGATCATCGATCTTGTTTCACGAGCAGGCGCGTTGCAGTCTCTCCCCCATCACCCCGCAAATCAAGATCCTGACAGGAAATCACGATCCGAGATCAGCCACACACACAGAGCACGCCTTTCCCCCTAACCCTCCCCAAATGCATAACTTGACCCCTCAAAGGAGCTTTCCTTCTCGAGGAGCGTCCCGCCGCTTGTGAAGCGTCTTTTAGGTATTTTCTGTTTCTTCTCTCTCTTATTTTTCAAGGAACCCACAGAACCCCCCCACCGTTCTGTTCCAAGCACACAGATTTGGGGTCGATTTTCTCGATTCTCGGCCCTCCCTCGCAAATGGTCATTGCATGCTTTTTTTTCAGCTTTGTTCGCTTCCGCTCTTGCAGAGATGAAAAGCAGTTCAGGGCTACTCTAAACTGACTCGTGCAGTAAGCGCCCCACGTCGCTCCCAGCCGTGCCGCTGCCAAGTCCGGTGCCGTCCACGAACTCGTTGAACCCGCTGGGCGGGCCAAAGATGCTACTTCTACGCTGTCGAATATGGAAGCTGGCGCGCTCGATGCCGTCGATCCACTGGTTCCGCATCGCCCCAGGAAGGCTGCCGCCGCCACCACCACCACCACTGGCCACGTCGGACTCGTTGACGCAGGGCGCAACGTAGGTGTGTGGGAACGAGCCCTCCATCTTGGTGGTCATGTTGAAGCCAAAGCCCCAGCCGTCGTTGAACTTGCATTTGACTATGACGGGATCGCTGATGTAGAGGTAGATTTCGTCAGAGAGGTTGGGGATGTGGTTGAAGACGACTTCCTTGTTTTCCAACATGACGGGAGCGCCGCCATTGCTGCCATTGGCGCCGTCCATCAGGCCGCCGCGGAGCGAGGACTGGCCCAGCGGCAGCGGGACGACACGCCGCCGCCTGACACGTTCGAGCCAAAGGCCGACGGCGCTGCCGGCCACGAGGCCGCCGTCAAGCGGCGCCTGCTGCATGTACTGCGGGTGGTGATGGCTGCTGCCGCGCCTGGGACTGCTGCTGCTGCTGGCTGTGCGCATCGTACCAGCCGCCGCCGCCCAGCGATGCAAGGTCCGTTCCACAATAATGGCAATGAGGAATGAGACGCCGCTGCCGACCGCGCCGATAAAGATGAGCTGGAAGAGACACAGGATAGTGGAGTCGGCGGTGGTCTGCGTCACAAAGCGCACACCCAGATTTTCGGCGTGATGGGACAAGGAGGATGGGTGAGCGGGACTAACGATGGTTGGCCTCACGTAAACGTGTAGACGCAGTAGTCGGTCTCGCTGGCGACATAGGCGCTGTTGTACATGTGCGGCACGGCGGTGATGGCCTGCAGGTGCTCCCAGGCAGCGGCGCCGGAAAAGGCGCCTGGCAGCTCCGTCTCGGAGAGGGGCGCGACGGCGGCAGGCATGGTCGTCAGGGCGGACATGACCCGGCAAGAGCACCAGGTAGGCGAGGATGGCGAGTGTGGGGGCACCGACGCGCCGGGGGGGTAAGGTTGCGCAGAGGGCAACAAAGTCGGAGCGGAGACGGAAGCGGCGGCGGCCGTCTTGCTGGTTATGGTGGTTCAGCAGGTGGCTGAGGCTATGGGAAGACGGCAGGGAGCGGGAGGTGGAGAGCCGTAAGCCCAGGTCGGCGCTGTTGTAGTCCTCGACACCACCGTCGCCATCGTTGCGGTGATCGTCGTCGTGGTCCTCGTCATCCTCGTCCGAGTAGATGCGCTCGAGGAGGGTGCCGTCTTGCGCGCCGCCGCCGACAACCAATGACAAATGAGACACGTACTACAAGTACGACGACGATCGGCCGAGTCGCCATCGTCGGCGCTGGAGGAGGAGGTGTGGGGAATGTGGTGAAATAAATTGAGAAAAAAAATCAATTGCTTGTGGGGGCTCTGTGGGGACGCTGTGGAGGCGCTCTCTGTGGGACGCAGTGGGGACTGGGACTCTGTGGGGACGCTGTGAGTGCTCTCTCTGTGGGACGCAGTGAGGACATAGTTTTTTTTGCCCTCACGTAAAACCATAACAAAATCAAAAAATTGACAAAAAAAATTATTGACGGACTCTGTCTGTGGGAACGCTGTTGGGGGGCCTGCTCTGTGGGACGCAGCTTCGTTTTTCTCTGTGGGAACGCTGATGAGAGGCGCTCTGTGGGACGCTGTTGGAGCGCACTCTGTGGGACGCAGTGAGGACATAGTTTTTTTTTGCCCTTATGCAAATCCATAACAAAATGAAAAAATTGACAAAAAAAATCAATTGCCATAATTGACAGGCTCTGTGGGAACGCTGATGCAAGGGCTTCTGTGGGAACGCTGATGACCCCGCCCTCTGTGGGACGCAGTGCGGCTTCGTTAGCACTGATCGGCTTCGTTTGCATTGATGGGCCGCCGGATGGATATGTCTAGGCCCGAATACGCCGAGTGCGGGCGTGAGGGAAAAAAGGGCAAACCTTGAAAAAACCCACACTAACACCCAACGAAGAACAACCACCAACGGAAACTATGAGGCCCAACCCCCCCCCCCCAAATGAGGGGGGGGGTGGGAATGCGTAAGGCCCCCCGATCAGAGGGGGGGCGAGTCGAAGAAAGAAAAGCGTAAATCGAAGAATAAGCACAGTACGAAGAGAAAGCGGAGATTGAAAAATAGAGCAAGGTTCGAAGAAGAGGCGAAAATCGAAGAAAAAGCGTAAAAGCGAAAACATATGCGGGGGCCCCCGGACTAATCAACAGGGGCAGGTCGCGTACCTAGGAGGGAGTCGAACCCTCGCCCCCGCACTTTAGGGCCACTTATTTTCTAGGCACCGTGAAACCTTGAGCATGCTTAGCACACCGGTAGCCGCTCTCATCAGTCACGCTGGTCAGTATAGTCTCCTTAGCTGTCCGTATGGGGAGCTGTCATTGGGGACATCACTCAACTTAACCGCGACGGCCCAGTACCACCAAGGTACCTTCCCGTTACTTGAGCTACCTCGCCTGGACTAGCCAGACTAACCACCAGGGGGCATCCGTTGCCGGTGGCCAGGGTGTCCTTATCGGATGGTTTTTACTTCGGCCATTCCCTGTTTCGTCTTGCCGGGAATCGAACCCGGGCCCCCCACTGTGCAGGTCAGCCGACTTAACCACTGTCCTACACAGGCCGGCCCTAACCCTAACCCTGACTGGTTAGCAGCAAGAGGCACAAGACAGACCTGAACCAATTGTGGCTGTCAGTTATTGTGATACACTGGCTTGCACTGTTGACAAAGACTCCAAGTATAGTGGAGCAGAAACCCAGCGAAAACAGTTTTCCACCTCCTCCACTCAAGCAGATAGTGTCCCTGCTACGTAAGAACGTAAGACACAAATGCATTGGTTGGATAAGGGTCAACATAGCATTGCAAAAGCGCAATCTCCGTAGCACCTACTGACTACTGATGGTTGTCAGCATGGACACCCTTAGCAACGTTGAATCAATTCCGTGATGTTATCACTCCACTGGTTCCTCTGAATTGGATTTTTTTTTCAGGATTATATCAGGAAATGGACTCTTTTGACCTAACCTAACCGAGCCCCCAAGCCTTAAACTACACACCTTTGTTGTCAACTGCATGACCATTCTTGGCATTCTACATATATCCAGCTGCACAGCCAATTGCTACGGCCCATGCCCTCCCTCTTACCTTATCTTGGACTGCCTTCAGACACTGAGTATTGTCACTGGTACTTGTGCAATAACCTCGCAAGTCGGAGGACCAGTTTGCAGCCCATCTGCAAGCTCCAACCATAGCTCAGTTCGAAGAGCGCATGCCTTGGACTTTGTGGCTGTGTCTCTTGCCGGCTGAGCAAAGCAAAAGTGTTTTTGTTTTGTCTGCCTGGTGCCATCATGAGGTCCCCAGTTCGAACCTGGGTGGTCGGATGCACTATACTCAGCACTGAATGCTCATTTGTTCATTCCAAGCTCCTGCTACTGACATGCCCTCCACGTGTGACGCAATTTGCGTGGTGGTGCCAACTGCTGATAATCTCTTCTTTTGCATCAGCAAGCAGTCCCCATGCTTGTCTGTGGTTGAACCTTCATTGCCCAGGAGAAAGGCTTCAGCATGGGCCACAGCTCAAATACTCTTACAACTACTGGGGCTTGGCAGTGTTCTATGTTGCAATTGTTTCCCACTTTTTGGTCTCCTTCAAGTAGCTGAGGCCAGATTCCATTTGGAAACATAACTGGCGCTGGTCAGTGATACTAGAAGTCAAAAGACTGCTAGTTTATTGGTCCAGTTTCCTACCTTTACATTCTGCATCCAACTGTGACAAAATTTGATGAGAGGATTGCAAACTGTTGCCCCAAAGACTCGGTGCCAATAGAGAGGGCAGGCTCACCCAAACTAAGTCTCCACTCTCCTGTAAAGGCGGCAGTCTGCTTATCTCAGATAAATTGGTTTCTTTGCAGTACTAACTCTGCCAAAAAATCGTAAAATCTGGCCAAAGTTGGCATAAAATGGGCACTGAAATACCACATTGTGTGCCTACAGTAAAACCCAACAAATTTTTTGGAAAACTCAAGAAATATCCAAGATCATCTGAAATATCCAACAAGAAGCAGATAATTAGGATACTTTGCCTTTTCCTGATACTTTCTCAATCAAATTTCTTTGGATTTTGGACACAATATGGAGTTCTCCAATGCGTATTTTATGCCAACTTTGGCAGGATTTTACAAATTTTTTTGGTGGAGTTAGTGAAAATAATAAAATAAAATAAAAAAAGGAAAAAAAAAACCCCCAATAGAGATAAGCGGACGACAGCCTTACTCTCCCTGGGGCTGAAGGGCTCATTGTTGCAGTTGGGGAAATCTTTCTCGATTGTCACACAAAACCAAGTTGAATCCATGCTTTGGGCTCCAGACATTGCCTGCACCAGCAGCGGAAAGGGAGCTGGAACTGAGTAACTCAAACGCTGTCAATAATAAATATATGGACTGTGTAGGTCTTTACATGACCCCTACGTGATTTGAACACGCAACCTTTCGATCTGGAGTCGAATGCTCTACCGTTGAGCTAAGGAGTCCACATATAGGCCAATCCAGATCTGAATTATTACGTTTTTGTCATACTCATGTCACACTCGAAAGGATAAGGACTCATTCTGATCCTAAAGACTGCATTTCCTATGTGATTCAATTTGATTCAATCCTTTGACCTCAAAATGCAACTTTCCCAAAGGGTTTTGTTATCTTGTTTGGAAAAACAGTGGCACAGACTGGCACAATGGCACTGTAGGTTGCCCTCCTCAAGTTGTGGAAGGTTTAAACACTGCCTGGTCTGCCATTTCCAAACCGCTGAGGTTTGTGGCCTGCTAGACCCTCCATACAGCGCGAGGCCTGGGGAGCGAGGTGATGGCAGACAACAGGCAGCAACAAACAGAACTCAGCTCTGCGTGCTAATAACATAAGGGCATGTTGGAAGGAAACAAAATGAAGAAAAAAAGGAAGCTTTCTTCTTTTCCTTTTTTTTTTTTTTTTTGGAAAGAGGATCTGATGCGAAGTTTTGTCCACAAACATGGTCCTTACGGTTTGCTGCCCAGGGCATGGCTGCATAGTGTAGGGGTTATCACATCAGATTTTGATTCTGGGAACCCCGGTTCGAATCCGGGTGCGGCCTCAACATTTGGGTGGACAATCTCCCCACAGTGGAAATTGTGATGGTGGGGCCTTGAAGACTCCCACAATCAGTCTGGAGTGTTGAGGGGAGGCTGGTTGGTGGTGCTGCCAAACAGAGGCAGGTGACACTGAGCAGGTTTTTTGCTCTTGTTTTTCTAACTACACTGGGCAGTGATTGCTTTGTCAAAGCATAGCAAATAAATAATGTGAGGGGCTTAAATGCAATTCGCTTTGATGGGTACAAGTTGATCCAATAAATTGGTATTCCTGTTTTGCTCCAGGCTGTTTCTGTGCGGAGAAAAAAAAAAAAAAAAAACAACCTGAGCAGAGCCTCCAGACAGAGCTTGTTTCATAGCTAAAATGATCAAAAGTGGCAGTGGCAAGAGTGGTTCAACCTCTAAGGCGAAACCTTTTCTTGTTTTTGACTGTTTTTATGGGCAAAACTAAATGCAAAAAACAATTTGGGAATGCAGGAGACTGACCTGACAAAGATCGCGACAAAAAAGAAAAGAAAACTTTTTATCTTATTCTTTGCTGCCTTGCAGCATATCAAAAACTGTCACGCTTGGATTGCTGTTCAAACAAAATGGGAAAAGTTTTTCTGGACAAACCAACAGACCCCTCACTTTTTTTTTTCTGCGCAGTGTTGATTACAATCTGCGCACAGCAACACTTTTAAACAAAGCAGCAATATTTGTCCCTTTTTTCTGGCCATGGGGAGGACACAATTACACCTGAGTTGCGTCATGTTGGAGCCTCACCTGGGAATGATCAGGGTTTCTCTCCTTGAATTTGCCGCCCACCAGGTGGGCTCTTGAAAACAAAGACCAGAGTGTATATAATGGAACTTTTTGGAACAAAGTTCTAGTCATGTAATGCTGCAGGTGTGGTCCACTCTGAGCACACTGTGCAGTTCTGGCACTTAGCCTCTTTATCTGCGTAATGGTTGTTAGGCAGAACTGACTGGTTAGCAGCAAGAGGCACAAGACAGACCCGAACCTATTGTGACTGTCAGTTATCATTCTCACAATGGCCATGGGAGAGCGAGCCACCGCCAATGCAGACCTCGGCACTGGCTTGTGCTGTTGACAAATACTCTGAGTATTAAGTGGAACGGAAACCCAGTGTCAACAGTTTTCCTCCTCCTCTGCTCAAGCAGATAATATAGGAGAGGGTTTTACCCTGTACCAGTCACGCTTGCCTAGCAACTATTATAGCGTGCATATCATCATAATGTATCAATTATTCATAACAGGGTTTTTTCTCTTTCTCTCCAAGTTGGGGAGAAGGACCACCCACAAACACACATCTCCACTTCATTCACTCCTTCCACTCACTCACTCAGAGTAGGCTGTTTACACATCAGCATGCCAGCTATCTGGCTGCATCAACCATAGATTCTAGCTCTGAAAAACACTCTCTACCACCTCCAACAAACAGAATCAGCATAGCTCAACTTTAGAAACCATTTCGTTTGCGAGGCCCAAAATTTTCGCCCTCTTCCAGCCGAACCCATCATCCAATCCAGGCTTGCTATAGTGCATTCGAAAGCCCTGAATCTCCTCTTTTCAACAAGCTATCACGAAGCTCTATACATTGTCTCTATGGAATTTGATTGATCACTGAAGTCAAAAAACGCTCCCTCAACTTTGAGTGACATTGTCGCAACAGGGAGAAGCGATCAGAGGACGCCCTTTCATACCCGTATCCTCCTGCTTCTGCTCTTTACATTGATACCTACCGCGCCTGCCACAACGCCAACAGTAGGAGCTACAAGAGATTTTGATAAGGGGGTCCAAAAAGTCAAACTACCACTACCTCCAACCACCATTTTTGTCCTTTCTTGTGTGACAAGTCACCCCTGCTGGACACCAAATTGCTCTAAGTTCTCTTTATTCTGTTCTCCAACACTCCCCAAGGGAAAACACCACCAAAACATCGACCCTTGGCCTGAAATTTCGCACACAGTCACTATTCAACAGTGCCAACCTGCTATTCCAATTTCAGAATTTTCAGTCCATCAATCAGCTTGCAACAAGCATTGTGTGCAACACACATCTTCTATTCTGGACCATTTCTCCATCAAGTAGAGCATCAAACAACTCCTAGAGTCACTATTTGTCACTGCTGCACTGTGGAGCAACTCCTCCAAATTTTTCCAGCAACTGATTTTCTCCTGCAACAGAATCATCACTACGCGCAACACAATGTCGTCCAACCTAAACTCCTTTGTTGGCATGTTCACTGGCAAGACACTGACATAATTCAATGACTTTATTAGCAACCTTCAGATCAAGGTTATTGGTGAAAGGGAATTCAGGACCTAACTGGACAGACCTATTCCCTCTTGAGAGACCTTTCTGCAACGAGGGGGCCCACCATACGTACATCACACACCTACCCAACGATCAGTGGGACGGATGGCGTTTCTGGTTGCACTGTTGAAATGGTGGGCACAGCACACCAGAGCCAAAGGCTGGTGAAACACTCTCACCGAACTATCTCTATGTACCGGCTGTCACTGAGCAAGCTAATGCTGGACCAGTTGTGGCTGTCGAAGCAACTGTCAAGTACAAGATCCAGCATCACATCATGACTTCATCAGAGTTCATGAATGCCATGCTGAAGATGCATGCCACCTTCATCAAGGAGAACGAAACAGCTCAGTCAGCTTTGATGATCAGGCTTCCAGAGACCTTGCACTTGTTTGAACTCTGCCGCAACATTCACCTCTATTGAGACTGTGTGACTGCCATTCGCCGAACATTCAATAATGCCTGCCCATCCAGCTCGATTGATGATTTTGAAAACAGATGGTCAGGGCTGCAGCTACGCACAGACACTCAAAGCCCCTTGCGTTACCAAGATCTGAATTCTTATGTGCGCGAGATTGAGCGACTTCAGCGACTATTCATCCAAGGTCATGGCCAGAACAGACTTGATGAGTTTGTACGCAAACTGCAGAGCAAACTTCGCACAGACCTCGCACGTGGCTCAGCTTATAGTCGTTTTGGACCATTTGTGGCAGCACTTCAAAACAATGACGCCCGCTTCAACAAGCTACAGAATATCAGGGATGAGCTTACTGCTGTCTTGACTGCCCTTGAGGCGGATGAAGAGGAAGACTGCAGGAACCGCTGCAACAACCGCAGCTGGCGTCAAGTGGGCAACAACCACTGTGACAACCATGACGACTGCAAAGATAGACACCACTGAAGTGACCACATCCAAGGAGGTTGCAATGACCTTGAGCGAGCAGA